GAAAAAAAAAAAAAAAAAAAAAAAAAAAAAAAAGTTAGCTGGTGCTGGGCAGTGGTGGTGCATGCCTTTAATCCTAGCACTCGGGAGGCAGAAAGTAATCCCTGAGTTCAAGGCTAGCCTGGTCTACAGAATGAGGACAGCCAGGACTACAGAAAAAACCTGCATCAAAACAAAACAAATTTAGCTGGTTACTGTGGTTCATTTTGATAATTTTAACTCTGGAGGCTGAGGCAGGAAGATGACAGCCCATCTTGGCCTCATAGTGAATCTTACCCTCAGCAACAAGACCCTCAAAACCACGACTATTTGTGACACTAGAGAGCTGAAAAGTACTTCCAGCCACAGGACTGAAGCAAAGAATGGGGTATCTGGGTCCAAAGCTGAGCTTCTTTTAATAGAAGGGGGAAGTATCAACCAGTTCGAGGTGTTTTCCATGGAAGAAGTCAAACACCCATTAACAGGAAATACAGCCTTATATTATACACAAGCACACACACAAAACCCTAAAAAACACAAGAAACTCAAAGGTTAAAATAGAAAAAGGCAAAGGAGCATAGCTACTCACTAATCAGATACATCCAACCTTAGAGGAGGAAGTCCTGCCATATTTTAAGACATGGCTGAACCTTGAGGACACCAAGGACAGGTTTAGATGATCTCACTATGAGTTACTGATCTCAAACACACATGCACACACACACCATCCAAAGGTTCATAAGGAAACCGGAAATGACGGATGTTTATTTACCTTGACCATGATGACATCACAGACTATACCTATGTTATAATCCATCAAATTATATACATGAAATAGCTTTAGTTTACATGTGTATAAAAATAAAAATACATTTATGACTTTCATTTTCTGTTATCATCCTGCCCTGCTCTGGATGGATGACAGACAGGGAACAGTGAACCTGGGCCTGGAAAGGAGGTGTCCCTGCATGATCTATTATCAATAAATCATTTTTTAAAGAAGACACTTAAGAACATTTTTTTAAGTCTAACTATTTATACATGTATGCCAGAAGAGAACACCATATCTCATTACACACGGTCGTGAGCTACCATGTGACTGCTGGGAACTGAACTCAGGATCTCTGGAAGAGCAGCCAGTGCTCTTAACTGCTGAGCCATCTCTCCAGCCTTAAGAACATTTTTAAACAAACATACCAAAACCAACTTCAGCAGTTTTGAGAACACAGAAGCCCTGCATTCTCAGCTGCCTGTTCTTGGCTTCAGTATTGATTTTTCTATAGACCCAGAGTGAACCCATCACTTGATTAAAGTCACCTTTCGTTCTGATCTCCTAACTCAGATGGTTAGGATCAAGTTAAATGACATCCAGTTTCACTTTGATGTTCATAGCTGCCAGCTCAGCTACAAAATACCGGAAAACATAAGGCACAGAGACAGTGTCGATGGTGTCGCTGCGGCCACAGACAGTGCAGTTGTATTTTCTGTTGCGCATAGCAGACCAAGAAGGAGGAGGCTTTTCAAGTAGCGGGGAGAGCAAACTGCCACATTTCACACAAACGTGGGCGACTGAGCGGTCAGAGCAGTTGAAGAGCCGATCATGAAGGAGAAAGGATGTACCATGTGCCAACAGAGCATCCCGCTCCATTTCCCCAAAGCGGATTCCACCCTGGACGTTCCTTCCCCCAATGGGCTGGTTGGTGACTTTGTCCCTGGCTCCAGTCGTTCTAACTTGAAATTTGTCTGACACCATGTGGCGTAAGCGCTGGTAATAAACCACACCAATGAAAATATCTGCTTCCAGCTCCATCCCGCTGATGCCACTATACAATCTCTCGGTGCCATAGAAGTTGTAGCCAGCAGCCTTTAACATCTCCCCAAAGTACCCTAAGGCTGAGCTCTCCTCAGAGAAGATGAAGGGTGTTGCATCATGGCAGAGACCATGCAAGGCTGCAGACTTTCCAGCCATGCTTTCGATCAACATACCAATGGTCATACGGGAGGGAAATCCATGAGGATTAAACAGAATGTCTGGCACCATCCCGCTCTCTGTAAAAGGCATGTCCTCAGCTGGCCACAGTCTGCTCAAAATGCCCTTCTGTCCGTGACGGCTGGCAAATTTATCTCCAATAGTTGGATTCCGAGGGACTCGTATTGTGATGCAGATACACTTGAATTTCCCACTGCCCGTGTCATTACTACACACTTTGATGTTGTCCACAATACAATTTTCTTTACTCCTGGGGGGCAGGAAGCAAATAAAAAGTCAAGATATTTGTTCTGTTTGTTGAGTCTCACCAGGCTAGCCCTGGCTGGCCCACAGCACAATGACCTAGAGCTTTCAGTGATCCTCTTGCCTCTGTCTCCATGTGCTAGAATCACAGGTGTGTGACACAAAATCTACCCAAGCTTTGTTTGAGATGAATAACGTTCCATAAGTGTATATGTAAATGTACCCCCATCTGTTCACCAATATAAATAGATGTTAGAAGTTACTTGTGACTGGGATGACTAATTATGTTCATCTCAGAGAATATCAGCGACAGGAAAAACTACTAGGCAAGCCCACTGAAGCCATCTTTAATCACTGTAGAAGCAGCTAAGATAATTACTCATTTTTAGAAAGACGTATAATGAACCCAGTATTTTGGGTAGGAAACAGCCTTAATGCTGTTCATGAAGGCAACAATGACAGAAAACTACCACGAAGGCAAGGTGACAGACAGTGCTCACTTTCAGCAATGACCGTTAACGACATTGTCTGATGTGTTAACCCCATCTCAAGTTGAGCTCTACCTCTACTGTTGTGGTGTAAGGAGTCAGGCCTTTAGGAGGGGTTTAGGTCCTGAGGATGGAGCCTCATCAATAGACAATGGCTTTACAAAAGGGGGCGGGGCTGCTCACTGCTGTTTGCTTTTCCCTCTGCCTCTCGCTGGGACACTAGGCAGTGCCTCCTCGAGTCCATCCACTTCAGTGAACCCACCAGTGCCTCAATGCTGAATGGCCAGATTTAAAACAATAACGAGAGAGAGAGAGAGAGAGAGAGAGTGTGTGTGTGTGTGTATATTTTTTTTTCTTTTCTTCTGTTAAAAGACAACTTGATTGACCTCCAGTAATTTCACTACAAAACAGTCTATAAAAACCAGCACAGGGGCCAGGTGTGGCAGCATAGACATATAATCCCAGCACTTAACAGGCAGAGAGAGGCAGGGGGATCACCCATTACATCAGGGCCAGGTTGGTTGACTCAGTGTGCTCCAGACCAATCAGGGCTCCTCATGACACACTTCCCACTAACAAACCAACCAACAGTCCAACATGTCCCCAAACTTACTTATAGTAAACCACAAAGCCTTCCCCGGTGTTAAGGTTTAGGTAGCTGTAGTAGGGGTCACCAAATTGCAGCTTTGCTCCTATGAATGGCAATCCATCATCGTCCAACTTTTGCATAACCCGTGGGTCACCAGGTTTGATTCCAAACACAAGATTATCATTTCCTTGCTTAAATTTTTCAGAGAGGTCTATGAACTCAGACTTGTAGACACTTCCATGAGCAAAGCCTCGCTCCCAAGAAGCCTTATTCACAATCTATGGAGTCAAAGAATCAAATCAACTTATAAGACTGGGCGCAGATAAGAACTTTCAAAACAGAAACAGTTAAGATTATACTAATAACTTGGTTTAGGGTGACTGACATTTGATTTTAAAACTGCATTTCCAAATTAGCAATGCTATCAAGACCCAAACTCATAAATGACTTCAGACATAATCAAAGACAAACATAAAAGGCAAAAACACCAAGACCTCATATCAACCTTTACCCCAGTGTGTACGCCTCAGACCAGAAATGAACTATTTGAAGAACAAATGTATTTGCTATCATGTCCCTGAGGACACATAAATATTCCTTCAGTGCTTTCATAGTAAGAGAGTTCACAAACAGCAATGGAAAAAGATTGCAGAGTTACAATTAATACGCTTACCATGGCGTCTTCCATATCATAGCCAGTGTAGGAGATCACAGCCACAATGGCATTTGTCCCAATCGGATAGTTGTCCATGCTGTAATAATCATACATGCATGGTCTCACGAGAGGGCTTTGAGGTGTCTGAAGACGGTAGAGTTTATTATCTGATCGGTCTTGAAAAGTGAGCAGCGGGAAGCCCATGGTCTGCTTACCTATGGAGGAAAAAAATGTCTTTGCATCTTGTTTTTAATCCTCATCCTCAATGTGCTTCATAAAACTGGAAACAACTAGATGCACACCACAGAGGATGAATACACACCACCATGAAGCATGGTGGCCCTGCTTATTATAGACTAACATCAGCTTTGAGAATGGAGAATCTCTATCAATATGCCTAGACTATGAAAATAATGCTGGGCAAGAGAAGTTCAGAACTGCATTAATGATACTATTTACAGACACTTGCAACACACAGCAACACTATCATTTACCGTGGAATATAATGTAAACATTGAAAGGTACAGAGGATATATACTAGTATAGACATGGAGATACACACAGAAATGTCAATTTTTGAAAATTCTGGGTAATAGAATGTAGGGTTACAGGTAATTAGATACATGTATTGATTACTTTACAAAGAATCCTTTCAGAGCAAGATGATTTTAAAAACAAAAATGTATACATACATGATGGCTAATCTGAACTGTTGACTTGACTAGATGCAGAACCTACATAGAAACAAATCTCTGGACATGTCTATAAAGGATTGTCTAGGGCTAGGTTAACTGAGAAAGAGACACACCAAATGTGGGCTGTAGTCATGGACTGAATGAAAAGGAAAAAGCGAACAGAATGCACAGATTGATTGCTCTCGGCTTCCTGACTGCTGATGCTATCTATGTGCCTATGTGCCAGCTGCCCCCTGCACCTGCTGCCATGATAGACTGTATTCCCTGGCACTGTAAGCCAAAACAAACCCTTCCTCATGTGGTGGTTTGAGTAAGAATGGCCCCCATAGGCTCATATATTTGAATGCTTAGCTATCAGGAAGTGGCACTACTGGAGAGGGACTAGGCGGTGTGGCCTTGTTGGAGGAAGTGTGTCTGGGGATAGGCTTTGAGGTTTCAAAAGCCCAAGCCAGGCCCAATGGCTTTCTTCCTGCTGCCTGTGAATTGGAAAGTAGACTTCTCCAGCACCATATCTGCTGTGTGTCATCATGCTTCCTGATATGCTGATAATGGTCTAAACCTCTGAAACTGTAAGCCAGTCCCAATTAAATGCTTTCTTTTCTAAGAGTTGCTGTGGTGGGTGTCTCTTCACAGCAATAAACACCGACTAAGACACTCACTCCATTAGGCTGTCAAACACTGTTGCAGCAACAGGACAAATAACTGATACAACACATAATGGAGTGGAGGGCTGCTCTTACAAGACCACCCTCAACACTCAACTATAAGATTCAGGAAGCGGGGCTGGAGAGATGGCTCAGAGGTTAAGAGCACTGGCTGCTCTTCCAGAGGTCCTGAATTCAATTCCCAGAAACCACACGGTGGCTCACTACCATCTGTAGTGAGATATGGTGCCCTCTTCTGGCCTGCAGGCAACATGCAGACAGAACACTGTACACATAACAAATAAATAAATCTTAAAAAAAAAAAAAAAAGATTCAGGAAGCAAAGGGTCTCAACTGTGTCCACATGCCCACTCGCCAACCACTCATTGCCCAAAGACTGGAGATTTGCTGAAAGTAGTCAGAAACTGAGAGGAATTTATATTTGAAACAAAGCAACCACTTTAGTCAACAATTGTATAGTTTTCAGTTTTTAAGTTATTTTAGAGATCTCTGGTTACTGTCTTGAAGAATCGAAGAACAGAGTTCAGAGCACAGGGGCTACTGGAAAGTAGGGGGCATTTCTTTTCTTTCTTTCCTGTTCTGAAGGTAGATTACAGAGGAGAGCCTTCACTCTGCACATACACTAAGTCTAAACCTTTGGTGGGCAATGAATTGCTCATGATGCATGAGACTGAGCCAAGTAGACTGAGACTAAGAACCAAGTTAAATAGCAGTCAAGACCAACATCAGCTCTTTCAGAGAGGCCTAGCTTGAAGCCCTATCACTCACAGTAGTTGACATAGTAATTACTGGAGACACAAACAGTAAACATAACCCACACCCAAGAAAACTACACTCAATGGATAGCAATCTTGGGACTATCCAGATGTTTGAACAGGCAAAAGGTAACTTTATATCACCCATTATAACATAATGAATATGTGATTATATATAATCAATATAATGACGATTATAGCAAGCTTAATATATACAGCAAAATATGTCCATTGTGATCAGTAAACAAAACCCTCAAAAACAAACAAACAAAAAACCAGAAATTGTAGTCTAAAGACTAAGACAATAATTCATTAGATGACAGCATGATGTCAGTGAACATGATCATCCATCAAAAATTAGAAACAGGAAACCAGAGTGGCCATTTGCATCTGTAACCCGAGTGCTGTTGGGAGTGTTGCTGGGGCTGGCTGGCTGGCTGGTAGCCTAGCTCCAGGCTCAATGAGTAAACCATGTCTCAAAGGAATAAAGAAAACAGTAACAGAGCAGGACACCAGCTATCTTCCTCAGGTCTCCACGTGCACACATGTGTACATAGAACACCATACACACAGACACAGACACAGAGACACAGAGACACAGACACACTCAGACACACACACACACACACACACACACACACACACACACACACACACACACACACACA